ACACACACACACACACACACACACACACATATATATATATATTTATTAAGGGTGTAACGATACACATTCTTATTGAACCGTTCGGTACGCATTACAAACCAAACGATTCGTTGGACCAATCGCTCTTATTACATTTGGAAAATATAATGTTCTCAGTGCCACTGCGCTCAACAAGACAGCCCAAATGGCGTAACAAGCAACGTGTTGTCTGCCCCGTGGTGTAGCAGACGGCCCCGTGAAAACCTCCCCTTGCTGGGGTGTGCTGAAAGACGACGATCTTGTATCAACGATAGCCAGAGATATTGTCAAAAACATCAATTATTGGCAATATTAAGAGGATTTGGCATTTCCAATTAATGTAGGCCTGTTACATTCTTATTTTTATTAGGCCTATAATTATTATAAAGTTACTTTTATTTTAAATTAAAATTACAATTAATTTGCCCCGCATAGGCTAACTGATGCGCTGTGAGGACAACAAAAGATAGACTACTTAGCCTACTCCTCAATTAAAATGTTTTTTCTTTTAAGGTCTACAATGAATTGTATGCCTATAATTAAAATATTAACACTGCAGTCACCGATAAAAATCAATGAAATAAAAAGCTTTTATTCCAAGCACCGACTTTAAAAAACAACCTGTTTAACACGAAATACGTTTCTTCTCATATTTTTCACTATGTACGGGCCACAAGAGAAATATTAAGGGAATAAATTAAAGCAATTAGCTATATATCGTTATCAGCATATGCTGAAGTAGATTTGTCTCGTTGTCTCTGAGAGAATAAGTGGTGTCAGAAAGCGTCAGAAAGCTCCATCAGTCCGTTTTTACTTTCACTTTCTGCAGTGAATTGACTGAGATTAAGACCGGCACAACTCTTGCGCAAAGTTTGCATGTTGCTTGTGTGTGATATCCATTGGCTCGCCTTCATGGTTTAAAACAGAAATATTTCCAACATTGCGACTTAACCAGTTACCCCTGTACCGAACCGAACCGTGACACCACTGTATCGCATTGAACCGAACCGTGTATTTTGTGAACTGTTACACCTCCAATAGATAGATAGATAGATAGATAGATAGATAATCAGAATATGATATATAGATAGAATATGATAGATGGATGGATAATCAGAATATTATAGATAGATAGATAGATAGATAGATAGATAGATCAGAATATTAGAATGATTTCTTAAGGATCATGTGACACTAAAAACTACATTTTAAAATATATTAAAATACAACACACACACACACACACACACATATATATATATATTTATTAAGGGTGTAACGATACACATTCTTATTGAACCGTTCGGTACGCATTACAAACCAAACGATTCGTTGGACCAATCGCTCTTATTACATTTGGAAAATATAATGTTCTCAGTGCCACTGCGCTCAACAAGACAGCCCAAATGGCGTAACAAGCAACGTGTTGTCTGCCCCGTGGTGTAGCAGACGGCCCCGTGAAAACCTCCCCTTGCTGGGGTGTGCTGAAAGACGACGATCTTGTATCAACGATAGCCAGAGATATTGTCAAAAACATCAATTATTGGCAATATTAAGAGGATTTGGCATTTCCAATTAATGTAGGCCTGTTACATTCTTATTTTTATTAGGCCTATAATTATTATAAAGTTACTTTTATTTTAAATTAAAATTACAATTAATTTGCCCCGCATAGGCTAACTGATGCGCTGTGAGGACAACAAAAGATAGACTACTTAGCCTACTCCTCAATTAAAATGTTTTTTCTTTTAAGGTCTACAATGAATTGTATGCCTATAATTAAAATATTAACACTGCAGTCACCGATAAAAATCAATGAAATAAAAAGCTTTTATTCCAAGCACCGACTTTAAAAAACAACCTGTTTAACACGAAATACGTTTCTTCTCATATTTTTCACTATGTACGGGCCACAAGAGAAATATTAAGGGAATAAATTAAAACAGTTAGCTATATACCGTTATCAGTATATGTTGAAGTAGATTCGTCTCTGAGAGAGAATGCGGCGTCAGATGCTCCGTCAGTAAGGAAAAACACAGAATTGTTGACATTTTTGCAGATTTATTAAAAAAAGAAAAACTGAAATATCACATGGTCCTAAGTATTCCCTATATATATATATATATATATATAGGGTTTGACATTAAACATTCTCATGTGGTTGTCCGAGTATCAAAGTTACTTGCCCGGAGAGAAACATTTTTTTTTAAATTGAGTTATAAATATAATTATTCATTGTAGCTATACAAAACATAGTATAGTGTTTAGAGTATATGTAGTAGATTTTGTGAGCATGTCGCATTTAGATTTTTCTTTTTAAATAAAATAAACAAAATAATAAAGTGAAATCAGTATCAACAAAATTCATCTTTGCAATGCAGAGGAAACACAGAAGCTGCATCTGAAGTGGAATGGATATATTTACCCACTGTTTAATGCAGCTCTGAGGGACATTGAATGCTTTAACCTGCAGTTACAAATGAATAAATAATGTTTTGATTTATAAAACATTGAATTCTGATATTTGAAATTATTAAAACAATTAAAAAACTATACTACGCCAATATATAACCGCACATATATACACACACTTTTTTGATTTTATAAATAAGCTTTCCATTGATGTATGGTTTGTTAGGATAGGACAATATTTGGCTGAGATAGAACTATTTGAAAATATCTGAAATCTGATGGTGCGAAAACATTTAAATACTGAGAAAATTGCTTTTAAAGTTGTCCAAATAAAGGATATACTTAATATCCTAATGATTTTTGGCATAAAAGAAAAATCGATAATTCTGACAAA